ATTCATGCACCCTTATGTTCACTGCAGCATTACTTACAATAGTCAAGATACGGAAGCAGCCTAGGTGCCCATCAGTACATGAATGGGTAAAATAGATGTGACATGTATATACAATAGAATATTACTCAGCAATTAAAAAAGGATGAAATACTGACATTTACAACAACATGGACAGACCTACAGGGTTATTAGGCTAAATGAAATAAGTCAGAGAAAAACGAATACTATGTGAATTCATTCATATGTGGAACAAAACAAAAAACAAATAAATAATCAAACAAAACAAAATAAAAACAGACTCAGAAAAGCAGAGCAAAAATGATAGCTGCCAGAGGGCAGGGAAAGTAGATAAAAAAACTGAAGGGGAATAAGAGTTACAAACTGGCAGTTACAAAATAACTAAGCCGTGGAGTAGAGCCCAGCACGGGGAATACGGTCAACACTACTGCAATAACTACGCGTAGTGACAGACGGTTACTGGACTTAAGTGTACTGATCAAGGTATGTAAATATCCAATCACTTCACTGGTCACTGGACACTAATACACGACTATATGCCAACCACACAATTTTAAGTTCTCACATAACAAAAAACTTAGTAACTGTGTGATGACGGATGTTAAGATTTATTATGGTAATCATTTCATACTCTATACTTATCAAATTATTATACTGTACACCTGAAACTATTAATAATATGTCATATGTCAATTAAAATTAGATTATGACCTTTAGCCAGAGATTTTAAACTTTATAAATACATAAACCTTATGGAATATAAACATCAAATTTAGTTTAAAAAGAGGCAACACTTCCAGTCAAGAACCATCATTCAGAACCATCACAAATGGAGCTGAATAGAAGTCCTACAACTATGGAATTAAAGAAGAAACCGTATCAAAACTGGTAGGGGGGTAGACATGTGGTACAGGCTGGTTTTACACCCATGTGTGTTGGATAAAACCCAGGAGGGATGTCTCGGGAGCAAGAAAGGGATCCCAGCCCCACACATGCCCACCAGCCCAGGTTTCAAGTGCCAGGAAGATAAGTCTCCATAATTTTTCTGGCGATAAATACCAGTGGGGATTGAGGCTGTGGAAGACAGAAACTGCTGGAATCCGAGGCAATTCCTCTTAAAAAGCCCATGCAGACAGACTTAGTTGGAATCAATCCCTCTGAGCTCCAGTGCAGGAGCAGCAGGTTGAAAGGCATCAAAGACAAAGAGGAAGGAAATGAATTGTATGGCATCAGGGAGAGGGCTGGGGGGCAGCTCTCTGCCAGACAGAAGTGCTGAAGAGGCCGTTTTCCTGGGCCCTCTCCCAACAGAGCCGGCAGGTGGGCTCTGAGACTCCATCAACCTGGCTATCACTGTTTGCTCCTCTCTGGTGATTCCCTGAGGCGTGGCCCCACCCAACATTTGAGACTGCCCAAGCTATTTCCAACGGCTTTTCCATAGCAATGGCTTGTCTTGGCCCATGCTTCAGATTGTCCTAAATTCTCTCAAACAGCATCTCTCACTAACTTGTGCCAGGTCTGCCACTAGCAGCAGCTTGGTCTCACCTGAGCAACTCCAAGCCAAACACAAGTATCAGCTATCTGCAGATCACTTTGCAGCTTATGCTGTGTGACCTTCGACCAAACATAGAGGGTGGCTGACCTTGGGCAGCCCTCAAGGCTCAACTAAACAGGAAGGTATACACAGCCCACATGATGGGCGCATCTTGAGTAACCACCTTGGGCGATACAGGACACCTACTATATTTGGCCACTCTACCAAGCCTGGGAGATATAGCTGCTCTACCTAATACACAGAAATAAACACAAGGAGGCTGCCAAAATGAGGAGAAAAAGAAACATAATCCAAATGAAAGAACAGAACAAAACATCAGAAAAAGAACTAAAAATGGAGATAAGCAATCTATCAGATGCAGAATTCAAAACACTGGCTATAAGGATGCTCAAGGAACTTCACGACAACCTCAACAGCATAAAAAAGATCTAGTCAGAAATGAAGGATACACTTGAAGGACAATCGAAATAAAGAACAATTTATAGGGAGTCAACAGTAGAGTGGGTAAAGCAAAGAATCAAATCAGCAATTTAGAATATAAGGAAGCAAAAAACAACCAATCAGAACAGCAAGAAGAAAAAAAGAATCAAAAAAATTGAGAGAACTCTGGGACAAGTTTAAGATGTCCAACATTCACCTCATGGCGGTGCTGGAAGGAGAAGAGAGAGAACAAGAAAACCGATTTGAAAAAGTAATGACAAAAAGCTTTTCTAACTTGGTGAAGAAAATGGACATACAAGTCCAAAAAGTGCAGAAAGTACCAAGCAAGATGAACCCAAAGAGGCCCACACCAAGGCACATAATTAAAATGCCAAAGGTTAGAGGCAAAAAGAAAATCTTAAAAGCAATCAAAGTCATGCAGTTAGTGACCTACAAGGGAGTTCCCATTAGATTGTCAGCTGATTCAAAATACTCTGCAGGCTAGAAGGGACTGGCAAGAAATATTCAATGTGATGAAAAGCAAAGACCTACAACTAAAGCTACTTTATCCAGCAAAGCTATCATACAGAATCAAAGGACAGATAAAGAGCTGCCCAGACACGAAAAAGCTAATGGAGTTCATTATCACCAAACCAGTACTAAATGAAATGTTAAAGGGTCTTCTTTAAGAAGATTAAAAATATAAACAGTAAAACAGTGATAAATACATATCTATCAACAATGGAATCTAAAAAAACAAAATAAATGAAAAAGCAGAACAGAAACAAAATCATAGATACAGAATGTTTTGATGGTTGCAGCTGGGAGGGGGCTTAGGAGATGGGCAAAAGAGGTGAAGGGATAAAGAAGTAAAAATTGGTAGTTACAAATAGTCATGGGGATGTCTAGTGCAGCACAGGAAACAGAGAAGCCAAAGAACCCATATGCATGATGCATGGGCATGGACAACAAACAGTGTGGGGACCGCCTGAGGGGGTAAAGTGCAGGCTGGGTAGAGGGGAGAAAGGGAGAAAATTTGAACAACTGTAATAGCATAAACAATAAAATATAATTTTTCAAAAAGGGGGGCAACAAAGCATAACAGATCACAGTAGCAAGGAATGACGCTGTCATCTTGATGCCATGGACACTGTAACTAGCTCTTTTGATTCACAACTGAAAATTTTTCCAGCCTGGCTCCCATTTTTCTCTTGAGGAAAACAAACATCCCTGACAGCAAGCAGTGAAGACAAGGTGCTCAGAGATCTGTGGCTTGGCAAAGGGTAGTATAACACGCACTGACTGTCAGGCAGGCACTGGACCAGGAATACAAAATAACAAATGGTTTGACATCTCTGTAACGCCAAAAAGTCAATCATACAACTAGCTACCAGCAAACCAACAACCCAGTGCACCAAGTAATGGTACCACAGATGCCACTGACTGCACAACCGACTCACATATTTTTTTTCCCCTGGAGATCAGTATCCCCAATTCTGCCTTGTTCTTTGTTTTCAAATTTAGCTGGAACATACAAAACAGTTACATAAGTCCTCTTGGGCATTCAAGTATCCTCAGAAGCATTACTTATGTTTTTAGTAAAACTTTGCAGGAAAAAAGGCTTTAAAAAAGTAAAGAAGAATGAGAAATCAGCCGCAATTAAAATCTGGGTATCTGAAAACTGTTCTACAATGATATGGTAAATTGGCAAGGAGTTACACTGGGGTAAAAGATATAATTTTCTGATACAGGGACAACCAGGAAAAAACGTAAAGGCAGTCAAACTACTACATCAAAAAATGTCAGTGTCCAAAAGAAGAGGCCCCAGAACCCCAAAGACCGTGGGTCAAATACCGTGTTTTGCCATCTATAATGCACACTTTTCTGCCCAAATTTTTGAGGGAAAAATAAGGATGTGCATTATACATAGGTGGTACTAATTCTATATCTAAGTGTTTTTCATTCTTTTATTTACGCTTATACATTAAGAGTGTAACTCTAGAAGGCAATAATGATACTCATGCTCAAAAATAAATGCTTAAATTTCTTTATAATACAAAAAGTATAGAAATATTAATTAATTTATTTAAAAATTAAAACAAGATTTTTATCCTGAAAGTTTGGGCCAAAAACATGGGTGTGCACTATACACAGGGCGCATTATACATGGCCAAATACGATGCTAATTCCCTTACTAGCAAGTCACTAACCCTCCCTCGGCCGCACTACTTTAGCCAAAGTAACGCAAGCTGTTATAACTTATGTACGGATAGCAATATACATAATTTCTCATCAGTAAGAAAGTGTAAACATGGTATCTTCTCAATCTCTTGAAGTTTTTATAAGGAACAAAGGGTCTAATGTAGGTGAATGACTTCTGCGATAGGCACAACAAAAGTTTATCAACAAATATAATGTAAATGTAACTAACTCATAATTCTTTTAAATTTGGGGATATTTTGAAATAAAGTAAATTATTTTCCTAAGTGTGAAAAACCTGCTCTGTCATATTTATGACTAAAACTATAAAACTTAAATGATGAAAATCAAAATAACTTTTTTAACTTACCTTCACTATCTAAACTTGTTTGCACATTAAAACTACCACAAATATTATACAAGCAGATTTTACTTTTAAGTCAAATAAGAAGCTATTCCGAGGTTAAAATAACTGGTCATCTCTTCTCAAAAGAGACTAGTCTAAGTAAATTCCCTTTGTGGATGACAGTCTAAACTTTAAGGCTGAAACATGACAATATTCTGATAGCAGGGCCTCTGTGTGTTGCTGTAGTTAACAGAAGTGGGCAAGCTTTACATTCAATAATGCAAAAATGATAATAACCTTAATTTGTGCAATTAAAATTTTTGAGGATTCTCTCACGCTCTCTGCAACATTTTATAAAATACAATAACAATGAAACTCTGAGATGTTTTCCTTTAATGAGCAGTGGTTTCATGCTGAGAAACATTACCAGTTTTAATAAATTTGATTTCTGTCTATCACACTTACCTTTTTGTGATAAATGCTGCAGAGTCCTCTCTCTACGTCAGGCAATTTATGCAGATGATTTTCTATCTGACCAAAGACACTGAATTCTGAATGCAGAACTTCAGATACAGCATCTAGCCGAGCATTTATTTCCCTACGAGAACAGGTAACAGCAATTATGAGATACGGCAGCTATTCAGAAAGTAGACATTTCCCACTCTAAAGCCCAGCACTGTGATGAACCACTTAGAAAAGCACAAAGAAAACTTCTCTGCATCTCTGGTCCTTTCCTGACCCTCATCATTGGAATTGAAAAGCAGGTACCACACAAGGAGAGTCATTAGGTGGGGCACAGACCGGCTCATTGGGTTTTCCTCTTCTCCTGGGCAGACTCAGAGACCACACTTCTCGGTCTCCCCGGAAGTTAGGTATGGCCACACACCCAAGTTCCAGCCAGTGAAATGTGGGTAGGAAGGATTAAGCCACTGCTAGTCCTGGCCCATGAAAACCTGCGTGTTCACACGCTCCCCCTCTACCAGCTGGAGGTGGAGCCAGGGGCAATCCTGTTGACTCCATCAGCCTGGGCCCATGAATGGAGCAAAAAACCCTTCAATCCCACATCCACCGCCCACTGGACTTACATCAGAAACAAGTAAATGTTTATTGTATTTCAACCCAACTGAGGATTTAGGTACTATGACTGCTTGTGTCACCTTGGCTACTGTAATAGGTCTACATTGCAACTAGATTTTCCTCTCTGACTGAAATGGCTGGCCTCTCTGACTGAAATGGCAGGGCAGAAAAAAAGTTTCTGCCCTGGCTGGTGTAGCTCAGTGGATTGAGCGCAGGCCTGTGAAGCAAATGGTCACCAGTTCAATTCCCAGTCAGGGCACATACCTGGGTTGTAGGCCAGGTCCCCAGTAGAGGACACATGAGAGGCAACCACACATTGATGTTTCTCTCCCACTCTTTCTCCTTCCCTTCCCCTCTCTCTAAAAATAAATAAATAAAATATTAAAACAAAACAATTCCTTCAGCAACCCCACTGCTTCGCTACAAGACTTGGGGGGGGGGGGGACTGAGCGACTGTGCCTGTGAACGGGGACAGGCCTGCGGAGCCTGAGCCAACACTGGGAGCAACAACGGAAAGTGCGGAGCACGTGCATCAGGACACACGGAGGCGTGCGTGCAGAATTTTATCGATGCCCACACGCTCAGTGAGGCGTCACCTGGGGAGAAATGGTGAGGCTCTGCCAACTTAAAATGGAAACCTGACTGGCTAGATGTGTCCTGTATGCGATGTGGCCCGTCCCGTTCCCACGGACACCAAAGGCCCGCACCATGTATGGCAGCCGCATGCGGCACTAAAGACCGGGACAGGTACACCTCTCTAGTGGACAGCGGGCCCTCAGGTAACGGTGTTGTGAATGAAGAAGGAAGGAAGAAGCAAGCACATGAAAGCACGAACTGGACATTTGGGGGGAAAGGGAGACACCAGCTCCTAAATACACATCTGTTTTTCAAAGTTCTGTTGATATCACACACATTCATGTGAAAGTGCAACACTTACATCAGAATCCTGCCTGGATGACTGTGTAACTGAGCACTCTGCAATAATCGAGTGCTTTTATCTTTATACCTATCCCGTGAGGCCACGCCTGTTCGTGATACAGAAACTGGCTTCGGGTCTCACGTCTGTTCCATTTTTCTCTGGCTGTAAAGCAGGCATTTGGTCAGCATGACACAGCAGAACATGCCAGAGCCAGTGGACACACAGACTGGCTCTTCCATTCTCACTGGGGTGGTCGGTTAAATCTGTCCATTTCTCTCCATCTCTACTGAGATGTCCAAGCAAAGACAGCTTCTCAGAAAGACTACCAGAACAGCCTCCCGACTTTCCTCCCCACATCCACATTGGCCCTTCTTCCATTCCATTCTCCACACTGCGCCCGAGAGGCCTTCCTACAACCCAGATCTGTTCACGTCATACCTCTGCTTTAAGCTCATCAATGACTTGCCGGCAATCTTGGGTTCAAATCCAGAATCCTTAACTGACCCACAGGAAAAACTGATCCCTGCCTCTCAAGTCTCACTTCAGAGCACCTGTCACTCTCTTCCTCTCGTGCCAACCTTCAGACAGACTGGACTCTTCCAATGTTTCGGTCACTCCAAATTCTCTAACATCAGAGCTTTCAAGTTTACTGCTCACTCGACCTTGAAGACTCTTCCTCTTTCCTACAATCTACAAGCTGCACTTCATTTGGCTAATCACCCTTCCTCTGAAAGGACTTCCCACTGCATTAGACCAAATTTAACCCTTTGCCATCCCTTTCCATACCACCCTCTATTTTCTTCCATAGTGAAAATCATCATTGTATTTATTTCATCACGGTCTTTTCTACTGGACTGGAAGCTCAGTGAGAACAGGAACCGTATCTTTATTCCCATGGTTCTGGGATCACAATGTGTGCCCAATAAAAAGCTGTTGAATTGAACTCAATTCAATTCAATTTCTAAGACTATATATAAAGCATAAGGAAGTAAAAAAATTTTTTTGCATAGGATTGTTGTGATAAAATAAATCAATGTTTTGCCCTAACTTTTAAGCAAAATGCTATACAAAGATAAAGTTTTATTTTAATAACTCCCTCATGAATAAATGAAAGATGACAGCAAATGGAAAAGACTGGGATGATGCTACAGATGGTACGAGGACAGCGAAACAATGCCATCTGCGAAGGGATAAGACAGCCTCCAAAGAGAGCTGATCTCTCAGAAATGATAAGGGTTGTCTGGGATGTGAAAAGGTAAAAGCAAAAGAGGTTAATAAAAACCAAATCATATTTATGAAGTCCACCAGAACATTTTTTAATAGGAACAAAACTATAAATTTCTAGAAAGAGACTGATAAGGTTGTACTAAGTTGGTTTGCAATCTGGAAAAATACAAAGGTAGTGACTTTTCTTTTAGCCTAGTGACACCACAGGCAAAAGCTTGTTCACTATGAATTATTCTGGATTTTACCCAGCCTTCGTTTGTTACCCGGAGGTAACAGCTCGGAGGTTAATAATTAAGGCTGAGAAGGCAGGTGACATCAGTTCAAATCCAGGCTCTACCATTTACCAGTTGTTTTAGCCTTACTCTAGTTTCTCCATCTATAAATGAGAATAATAATGTCCCCCCACAGAATTGTTACAAGAATTCAATGAAATAATACATGTTAAGCACTTAAAACAGTGCCTAGTACAGGGTAACTATTCAAAACATGTTAACTGTTACCATTGTCATTTTTATGGTGATCTTTATTGGCTTACAAAATGTGTCTGGTAGATTCCACAACAAACAGCATGGGGGAGAGGAGAAATAGCACCTAAAGTATAAGCCTGGGAATAAGTATGTGTGGACAAAATTTAAGACACTGATATACAAAGTTATTTTGTGGGACGTGAACAACGAGGAAGGATTGCACAAAGAAAGCGAGAGCTGGAATCTCCAGTGCTAACTCGGACGGGAGCAGGGACCCGACCACGTGGAGGCTGGTTAGGAGGCTGCGGTGAGGCAGAGGGCTGTGGCCGCTGCAGGTGTCCAACTCGGACGGGGAGAAGGTGGAAGGGCGTGCGGCTCTGTTTACCACAGAGCCCCTCACTGAGGCAGCTGTAATTCCACTTTATCTCCTATGAGCGGATCAGAAGGCAAAGAAATAAAAATGCCTCCTAATCCAGTTTTTAAAAGGAAACAGTCTGCATTAGTAGGAGTAGGAAGACTTTCCAAAGAGCTGTAAAATAGTATGTCAGACCACTAGAATAGAGAACAGTCACTTTGGTGCAATTGGTGAAAGAGATTTGGTGCCAGTCAACAAAACAGGAAGCAGCACTGCAAATCAGGAGGTAGTAAGGATATTATTCCAAGATGCCCTATTCTACCACTGATCTTAAAACATGATATATTCCAAAGCTTCCTCAATCGATGGTGTTGGAAAACTGGGATTGCCACATGCAAAACAATGAAACAGGACTGCTATTTGACACCATACACAAAAAATAACTCAAAATGGATTACACACTTAAATATAAGAACCTAAAACAATAAAACACATAGACGAAAACACAGGTACTAAACTTATAGACTCTGGTATCAGAGTGGGTTTTATTCATTTGACCCCAAAGGCAGGGAAGTAAAAGAAAAATAAGTGACTAGACTATACCATACCAAAAAGCTTCTGCACAGCAAAAGAAACCATCAACAAAACAAAAAGGCAACCAGCTAACTGGTGAAGATACCTGTAAATGATATTGCAATAAGGGGCTAATATCCAAAATATAAAGAAATCATAAAAGTCAACAAAAAAATAAACAATACAATTAAAAAATGGGCAGAAGATACTTCTCCCAATAAGACATACAAAATGGCCAATAGATATTTAAAAAGATGTTCAAATGTACTAGCTATGAGAAGTGCAAATCAAAACCTCAATAAACTACCACCTCCTACCTGTTAGAATGGCTATTATCAACAAGACAAGAAATAACAAGCGTAGGAGAGGATGTGAAGAAAAAAGAACACTCGTGTACTGCTGGCGGGAATGTCATCTGGTACAGCCAGTATGGAAAACAGTATGGAGGCTCCTCAAAAAACTAAGAATAGAGTTACCACATGGCCCAGCAATCCCTCTTCTGGGCACCTACCAGAGAAACTTGAAAACATGTATTCATAAAGATAAATGTACCCCTATGTTCACTGCAGCATTATTCACGGTGACCAAGACATGGGAACCTAAGTGTCCTCCAGTGAATGACTGGATAAAGGAGACATGCTACATATCTACAATGGAATACGGCTCAAACATAAGAAAATATTAAATATTGCCATTTGCAACATGGATGGATCTTGAGAATGTCATACATTATAAACAAATGAAAAGAAGACACCTGAGTCATTGCATTCCGCATGAGAAGAACAATGAATTTAAGGGTCTGGGCATGACAAGGATTGTTTTTTACAACCAAAGCCCCAAGGACTAAATGTGGGCGTCCCTGGAGTCCTTCACATTTGAAGAAGCACTTGTTGTGTGTGGCCGCCACTCAGAAACTCAGGGTGTGACCTACAGCTATTGCCGTTGTAAAGACATGCGATGGAGTCTGCATCTGCTGGTTG